CGGCGCGGCCATGTGGCTGCTTCTCCTCCGCACCGTGCGGCTGGCTCGTGTCCTGCGGCCGCTCGCTGCGCTCGAGCCTCCTTCCTCCCGACGCGCGCAGCTGTGGGGGCTGGTGCGTGACCGCAGCGCTGGTGGTTTCCCAAGCGCGTGATTTGCATCTTGTGTTGCCGCGTCTCGTCATCTCTGGGGTCTGCCTGCATCTTGGAAGGGCTCTTGGCACCCGCGGGAGGCTGCGCTGCTGCTTCTGAGCCAGCGGTGTCACCTGCCGGGTGCCAAGTTCCTTTCGCTCCTTGCTGTTGGAGTCTTTCTGCAGCTCGGGTGTCGCTGTGCCAGGGTTGGGACTGCTTCGCTTTGCTTTCCTAAGCTCTGGGATTTGTCCACCTTTTGGCCCTTCTGAAGTAGTTGTTGCTTGAAGCTCTCTCAAATGCCATGAGAGGGGGGTGGTAAGCGAGGCGTCTCTGGGGGGATGAAGACCGGAGGGAGCGTTGCAGACTGGCCTCACGCTCGCAGAGGCTAAGGGTGGACTAGAGTCCGGGTGAAGCACTGGGGCTCTGCCTTTCTGTAGGACTGAACGTGCTTATTTACATGCTGCTTTTTTCAGTCTTTCTTGGGGGTGAAGTAACAGGCAAGGCCAGGAAGAGGAGTGGGGCGGAGTGCAGAACAACGCGCCGAGCTGCAGCGTTCCACTGCCCCGTAGTAAGACATGTGCCGTTGTAGCACTGGCTTGAGCTGACAGAAGTGTTGGGTCTGTCTGCGGGGAGCTCAAGCGTGTGCTTCCCCCACTGTGCTGAGGCAGGGTCAGGCAGACCCAGCCAGGCTTGCAGTGGAGAGGATTCCATGTCCTACTCTTTGCTTCACCATCCTGTAGACACTTACGTGGTCAGTCCTGCCTTCTGCTCAGCATTGAGGGCCCCGAGTGTGACAGCTGTGAGGGTGCAAGCAAATTGCTCCCATGGGTGCGTTCTTGCAGTTGCTGACATCCCAAGTTCCCCCTTGATGTTTCTGCTCCTTTGCCTGATGATGGGAAGCTGCTGCATAAATAGGCAGCTCCAACTTTTGTAACTGTTCATAACTGAAGACTTGTTTTAAAAAAGAAGTTCCTGCCAACACTTCTTGAATTTGGGGGTTTGTGAATGCCAGCTGATGAGCCGTGGATGCACAAGCAATGCCATTTGTTGGCTCAGAGCAGCCTGGGCTGCGCTTCTCTGAAGCATGAATCTTTCTACTGCCTAGCCAGTTCCACATGTGTTCCCAGCAGTGCTTCTGTGCGAAGCCACTTGGAGTTTGGAAACCACTGTCCTGAAGTTTGGAGGCTTTAAAAAGCTTCTGTGGCCTGTGCAAGCACTGCCACAGCTGGGGGAGCGAGCACTTGGAGGGAGAAGTAGATGGTTTGGGAAGTGGCCATTGTGTGGCGGAAGCAAGAGTGCTCGGGAAGAGTTAAGAGCGTTGGCTGAATGATTTGCCTGCTAGGCTGAGTCAGTTCCCTGTCTGAAAACAGTATGTTTCCTTGTTAATCCAGGAATCCACCCAGCCTTTTGGTTCTTCCCCTGCCCCCCCACATCATGACTTGCTCGTGGCACCTCAGTCTGATAAGCAGCTAAATCTCAGGGTTGGGAGGGACCTCAGAGAGGGTCTCATCACAGATGTAGGAAGCACTAGTCCTTACCGTCCTAGACAGCATCCCTCCAATGAAGGTTCCCCAGCATCCCTGGACAGCTCCTTCTATTGTTCTGCTGCTCTTGCAGTTTGGAAGTTTCTGTGACACTCGATATAAATCTCTTCTGCTGCAGTCTGCCTCTGTGGCCTGCAGCTGACACCCCTGCTCTTCTTACCACTGTGTTTGCTCTTTGGTAACTGAGGGAGCTCTAGCCCACCGTGCCTTCCCACAGGTGCTGCAGTTGGGCATTGGCTGAGGAGTGCTGAGAAGAGCTTGATCCTCCAGGGCTGGAAGCGGAGTGGGGTAGGGAAGTTTTCAATGCATACTGAAGCCTGGGAGTAACTCGGTGAACTTCAGTGGAGCTGCTGGGATGCTGCTAGTTCTGGACATATTTGGATCCTTTCCTAAACCTTCATGCAGAAAGACTCCCTGGTTGGACTTTGTCTCCGAGTGTTACTGTAGTGTTTTCTCTGAGGTCTTCTAAAGAATGCAGCTCTTTGCTCATAACAAGAAGCACAGCCATCCAGACTGCTGTACTTGCCTTTTTCCCCACTATGGTGGTGGTTGTACTCCATCATCTCCATGTATGCAACCGTGGTGTGTGTTTAAGACCCCACACAGAACCTGGGCACTTGACAGTTTACAAGCTTGTAAAACAGCGGCCTTGCCAGAGTCTCAGGCCACTGGCTTATGTTCTCCAGCTCACTGTGCTAGTTCAGCATAACTTCTGCTTTCAAAAGGCCTTTAGCAAGGTCTCTTTTAAAAGCAGCTCCTTTTAGGGAATGTAAGCAGTCGTGGGAGGAGGCAAAGTGCTGACTGGGGCAGAAACACAGATGGGAAACAGGATGGGCACAAAAGGCCAACTTGTATCCTGTAAAGGCTTGTTGATGGGGCCTGAAAGTTCTGCTGCTGGCTCCAGCCAACCCTTTGCTAGGTCATGTAGAAATCTGAGGCCCTCAGCCCGTGAGTGTTCCCTCTCTCCGCAAGAGAAGGCTGAGGGGGGACCTGGTGGCCGTCTGTAAACTCAGCAGGGGGGACCAGCAGGGTTTGGGAGAGAACCTGTTCTCCCTAGCACCGCCCAGGGTAACAAGGAATAATGGCCACAAATTGTTTGAGACTAGGTTTAGACTAGACGTCCAAAGTCATTACTTCATAGTCAGGATGGCTAGGATCTGGAACCAACTTCCAAGGGAAGTGGTGATAGCTCCTACCTTGGGGGTCTTTAAGAGGAGACTTGATGTCATGTCTACCTGGCTGGGGTCATTTGAGCCCAGTTTTCTCTCCTGCCCAGGGCAGGGGGTCGGACTTGATGATCTACAAGGTCCCTTCCGACCCGACTTCTATGAATCAAGCATGTCAAGTCATGCGCAGTAGGAGACAGCATCTGAACTGCACATGCAGCTTCCTGGGCTCTAAGTTAACTCTGCCAGCCCAGGAAAGGCTCTGACCTGGGTGGCACAGAGCCAAGGTCTCCTTGACCAGCGCACAGCTGCCCCAGCAAAAATCAAACCAGAACTCCCCCCGCCTGGGTTCTGGTGCGTACAGATTGGGGAGGAACAGAGTGTTGCGACCCTTGTGGTCAGGAGCTGGTTTCATCTGGCATGCCGTGTGCAGGAATGGCCACTCCATTTCCAAAAATGTTGGTGAGGGAAAGGAAGCTATTGGTGATCAGCCAGCTGGAAAATTCCCTTCAAGTAAGCGAGGAGGCCACAGTTGCTTGCCTTGTGGAGGTGGGGGAAGGACAAGTGGATAGCAAGCCATAGGAGACCTTGCGCTTCTAAGGGGTGTAGAGTGGCAGGAGGGTGGGAGCTTCTGTTGCCCTCGTCTCAAGCATACAAACAGGTACTGACAACTGCCAGGGGGCAAATTAAAGGTGGATAAGAAGGGTACAGTTGGCTTCCCCTGCTCTTGTGTGACTGGCACGGGACAGCTGTTGACGCACGCACCTTAAGTAGGAAGAAGATATGTAAAAACCACACTGGCAGGAGGCTGTGGAGCAGGTGCATCTGTTGCCACCAGCTGTTGTGTTCTAAAATTACAGCTGTCAAAGGGACAGCACTGGTCACGTAACATTTGCTGCGTGCTTCTCAAGTCAGTGCGGTGGTCCAAGCACTGTCCTGTGCGTGCAAGGAACTGCTGTGCCACAACATGTTGGCTTGAGGTGGTGAAGAACACGATTTCGCAAAGCAGTCCGACTGAGTTGTGGTGATCCAGGTTGGGTTCAAATGGTAAAGAATTACAGCTGACTTCCCAGGGTTTTGGGTGCTACTTTACTACCACTAAGCAGCTTGCTCAAAAACAGCAGGAAAACATTGCTGGATGACAAAAGCAGATGAGCTAGAGCAGGTGTGGTCTAGTTATGAGTAGCTCACCGGTGCCTGCAGCCAGGATGGAGGGCATTTCTTGTCCTTCACCCTCCAGCTGCTTGCATCTGGGAAGCTCCCAGCGGTCCTTGGCATTGCTCATGCTGATCAAATGGCAGCAGTGGAGAGGAGCCCTGTTGTGGCCTACCCTACTGCAGGTTTCTCTGTACTGCTCTGGGGTTCCTCCACCACTCCCTGCCTGGGGGCCAGAAGTGTTGGCTTTGCTATGCTGTGTGGGGTCTCTCTGCCCCGGGGTCTGCTGTAGGGAGGCCTGTGGGGTGCTCCCGAGTTTCCCCTCTGCTGCCTGTGAGAGTCAGAAACGGGGAACCCTGAAAGCACCCCAGAATGTAAATCTCAGATCCAAGAAATATGGAGCTAAGGTACAGACTGCCTCTTGTGGGGGAGCAGCCAGCCTGCCCTTGGAGGAAGGTGGCCTGGGTGCAGGGGGCATGGGGTTAGTTGGTACATCACTAAGCTGTGTAATGAAGGGAGTTTGCCTCTGCTGGTTGCCTCTGCCTGTGCACATGCAGCACAGTGCAGAGCATCCCTGGATGAATTGGTTGGGCCAAGGCTGAGGGACCCCATGTCCTGTCTGCTCCATGCAGCCCAATGCAGCTGGGCTCAGGTCCCAGGCACAGTTCCAGGACAAGGCTGGCTAAGGGTGGGGATGGGGTGTTGGTGGGCTCCCGCTGTCATCTTCTGCCTCAGCTCTTCTTCGCTTGGGAAGATACAGTGAGTGCAGCAGACAATCCAGCAGGCTCTGACTGCCCCCTAGAAGGCAGTGCATTAGTGTGCCTGCTCCCCAGGCCTGGCCTTGCAGGACAGCAGTGGGAGGGTTGGCTTTGATAAGAGGTGGATGTTTGGGACAAGGGGTCCTGTGGGTGGGGTGCTCATTAACCCCTAGGCCCTGGTGTTCTAGGGTGCAAGGAGACCTGCTGCTCTGAGGGAGTGAGTCTGGGGCAGGGGTGGGATGTGCCCTCTGCCCCACTCCCTGCCATCCCTACCTGTGCTGGGGGTGCCCCTCTGCCCCAGTGTGAACCAGCAGGTGGGGAAGCCCTGCTCTGTACAGGCGGAGCTGAGGATAGACAAAACTAGTGAGCTGAGAATGAGCCCCATGGCACGCTGGGGTGGAGTGGGGTGGGGGATCAAGGTCATCTGCTGCAGCCAGTGGAGCCTGCCTCCTGGAGCGTCTTGCTGCAGGTGCCGTCCCTATCTCCCCCTGATGGCATTGGGTCACTTCACCTCGCAGAGAATCATTTCCTCGGGCTGACCGTTGTGTGCTTGCCCTTGACAGGTCCCTTGAAAGATGGTGCCCCTGTGAGCAGGGGCAGGGGCAGCAGTACTAGTCCAGATGGCTGGTTCTTTGGTCTTGTAAGGTTTTTTTTTTTAACCTTAACCACCCTGCAGCTGTATGGTGGACGAGTTCTCCCAACTTTGCATGCGCCTGGAGGATCGGACCAGGCTTCTGATGGTGACTGAGACTGCTTTACCTCAACTGTGCTCAGCGCCTGTGTTGCTGTGGGGAAGAGACACCAAATGCTGGGTGCAGGGGGTATCGTTAAGTCTTCTGCCTTCCAGAAGCAGCCTGTGTTGGGAACGCAGCAGCAGAGGGCGCCCGCCGCCCGCGCCGGTTTCTGCGGCTGGCGGCTTCTGAGACTCCTGCCTTAATGACAGGGCAGCAGGGAGCAGCAGCAGGGACTGGCACGTGCCCCCCCTCCTTTCATGGCTGCATAATAAAACCACTGCCCTGGGCATCCTTCATCCTCACTAGACCAGTTGTCACCTGGGCTTTCCCCGCTTCCTGTCCTTTATCCTGATGAACTTCCAAATTATGTTGAATCACCTGGCTATGGACAGTGGCTGGTTTTATTTAAGTCCCTGCATTGTCTTTGCATTGAATGGAGCAATCTTATTCCTTCTGCAGCAGCTCTGCATCCTTCTTCCCTGGCACCGCCAGCACTTTGAGGTTTTCCTCGAGTTTCTTCCCTCTACTGGGGTCTTCTTGCTCTGGATCACGTGCTCCCAGGAAACCTCTCTGCATTCTCCCCCTCTGTGTCAGGACTGGGGTCTTAGCATTCAAGCCATCCAGAGAAGAGCTCCCTCCCTCTTCTGATGTGATCTCGGCTTGCTCTGAGACTGCACTGTCAAAACGTGCTGGTAGCCTGCAGGGCTGGTTTTGCAGCCTCCCTTCCTCCGGAGCTAACATCCTCAACCTTAATCTCCTCTAAGGGATGTCAGTATCCGCCCTCTCCAGCATAACACTAGCTGCCTCCCCCTGTACAGGAGTTGTTCCTTCCTTGTCAGGGACATCAGAGACCTGAGCTCCATTTCTGTCCCCTCTCTCACTGGCCCTGATGGCAGCTACATGCTTCAAACATTTCTGTGTGCAATGATACTGTGGTTCCATCCAAAGAAAGCATGGGGCAGGGAACAGCCTTTACCTAGCCACGGTACTGGCCTCCTTGCAAACCTATATAATAGAACCGCCTACGCGAGCACTGAGAAATGCTTCTCTTTTCATTAAAAAGAAGCAGCATGTAGGAAATGCAGTACTGGAGAGCTTGTTAACGTGGAGTGACTGCTGCCTCCAGCCCCTCCGCAACAGCAAAGCTTCCCAACCTGGGAGATGGAGAGTCAGAGTATGTGTCCCAGCCCACCCCACACAGGCAAGCTTCCCTTTTGCTGCAGGGCAGCCTTGAACCCAGGCAAGGAGCGATGAGAACTTGTGCACTCATGTCTTAACCCTTGTGCCCAGGACTCTATGGAACTGGGCAGCTGAAATAGAGCTCGGCATAACAAGAACCTAGTCTTAAGCTCCAGCCAGGCACCCAGGCCATCCTTTGTCTTCTAGTGTGTTAGCCACAGACTGGTGACCCAAGATGCTGTTGCCAGGCTCGTGCAGGCCCTTCTTCCAGCTGCTGATGGGGCTCCTGCTACAAGCCTGGTGTTGGTGCAGTGAGTAGTGGGCTCCTTTAGACCAGGAAAGACCCTGGTGTGCTTCTCTCACTTGTTGGCCTATGCACTGTAGGAGGCCTGCCCCCCTTGCTCTCAGGCTTCGCAGCTGGTCTGGAGGCTGATGGGCTGGGCTATGGGTGCTAGGGTAGAGGCCAGGTGCACAGGCATCCCATTGGTCTGGGTTGTGTGGATGTGAGGCCTTGTGCCCTGATCTCCCCTTCTCTCTGTCTGGCAGATTTGAGAGCACCGTGCAGGTGGGCAAGCTGCAGGACCTCATCCACCGCAGCAAGATGGCCAGGTGCAGAGGCCGCTTCGTCTGTCCGGTCATCCTGTACAAAGGCAAGGTAAGGTGGCCTGAGTGTGCCTGGCTGATGTGTGGGGTGTCCCTCTCCCCATTTTCTGAGCTGCCCTCATCACCTGGCAGTGTTAGTTTCTGCAGGCCAGATCCTGCTCCTGGACACCAACTGAAGAGGCAGATGGGCTGCCTGGGAATAGAGGGGCACTGCAGTAGATTGCATCCACTCCCCAGCCTGTGCCAGGCGGGGTTTGTGCTGGGCCCCTGTGAGCTGGCATCAGGCTAAGACACTGCACTGGAGACCAATGGAAGGAGGGTTATGACAACTTGAACCACACAAGACTGTTTCTCCCTAGGGTGCCCTGGGTATTCCCCACAGGCCTGCCTACCACCCTGCCAAGCTCTGGGTTCCTCCTGGAGGAGCTGCGGGATAGGATCCCCTCCTGTAGCCCCAAACCATCTGCCAGCTTGCTCTTGTTCTCCTGTTTTGTCCCTGAAGAGAAGCTGACCAACTAAGTGAAGTGCCTTTTTGCAGACATGCAGGAAGCAATCTGAGGTTGCTTAGATAGCTGAGCAGATCCCCAAGCGTCTTACAAGGAGGGATGCAGGCGTGTTAATCTTGATTGACTTTACAGTGAATTAGTTGAGCTGCACTAAGTGCTGGTGTGGGCACTCCTCTGGAGAATTCAAGTGGCTGTAGTTCTATGTAGCTTGGCTCCTTGGCAGCTGTGTGCGCCATGGTTGCTTGTCTCACCTGGCACCAATTAATGTGGCGTGGTCAGGCACCCATGCAGGCTGAGACCCTGGACCTCCAGCAGGGAGGCTGCTGTGGAGGGGTCCGGGCAGGAACTACTGAGACAGATATAGGGACAGTCCTTAGCCTTTGTGGCAGCAGTTTGAAGAATGAGGGTCAACCTAAACATGAACACAGCTCAGATGCTGCTTGTTTTACCAGGCAGTGGAAAATTGATGCAGGTGAGGAGGGTGTGGGGAGCTAGAGGCCAGAACAGGGGTAGGAATTGCCCATTGGAGGGCAGGTAGGTAAACAGACTGTAGAGACTGGGTACAAAGAGGTGGCAGCTGGGATGCCTGGAGGGGACAGGAAGCTGGGCATGGTTCCCTGTGTACAAGGGCAGCCCCTCTGAGACCTGCAAGAGGTTTATGATAGTTGCTTTCTCCAGCACATCTGCAGGTCAGCAACCCTAGCAGGGTGGGGGGAGCTGTACGGCCGTACCGGATACAACTACATCTTCTCAGGTGAGTAAGGGACCCTGTGTGGTCAGCTCAGCAGGATGTCTGTCTATGCATTGCTGCAGGCACTGGTCTGGGCCTTGGTGGGTGGAGGGCACATCACAGGCCAGCTGTAAATCAGCCTCAGGGCACCTTGTCCCTGGGGGATGTTGACCTGTTTGCGCATTCATCAAAGAGCAGTGCGGTGGGGTGGGGGCATCCTCTGCAGAGACTCCAAGGATGTCATCCTAGGAGGGACATGGAACAAGAGCTAAATTTGCTGCCCAGGTCTGATGATTATAGTCTCTGACAGGGGTGGGAGACCGAGGGTGGGTTAGACCCCACTTGGGGCAGGCGGGGAGAAAGTTGCAGGCAGGATGACAACCCTGGTGTGTGTGGGCTGCAGCATGGGAGGGGCGTGAGGGCATTGCACAAGCTTTGCCCCTGACATTGTGCTCTCCTTGCAGGGGGCTCTGACGATGCCTGGGCTGATACTGATGACCTTTCAGAGGAAGATCCTGCGTTCAGGTGTGTGCGCAGCATTTGGGTAGGAAGAGAGGAACTCAGATCTGACCAGCCAGTTCAACCCTTTGTCTCCAGTCTGAGCCATAGTAATGTCTTGGGGCCACTGCAGGCCACGAGCTCCTTGCTCTCAAAAACAAGCCCCTCATGATATCCCTGGTGTGGTTACAAAAACCAGAACCCGCTGATGCTGACACCTGGCTGAGCCCAGTGTAACTGAAGTCTCCTGTTCCACTGCTGGGGGCAGGCAGATACCAGATGTTAGATGGTCCTGAGCTGTACAGAGTGGGTAGGCGGTCCAGAAAGATAATGTGGATGGAAGGAATAATTCTGGATCTCCGTTCACAGAGAGGAGCATGCTGCATGCATGACTCCCACGATCTGAGGGGGTGGGATGGGCCGTGAGGGGACACTTTCCTCCCTGCCCAAAGGCAGCTGCTGTGTCCGAAGGGAGGGCAATGCTGGAGTGATGTTCGGTGCATGGAGAAGCTGGTTGTATGCTGGTGGTGCCGCAACACCCATGGGAGATGGCAGCAGGACTGGTTGTCAGCCCGGTTGCAAGCTAATGCCTCAGTGGCACAAAACCAGCCCCTGTGACCCTGCTGAGCACTGGGTGAACTGCTGTAGGAAGAACAGCACCGATGTGACGTGGTGTCTTGACAGACATGTGCACAGGCAGGGCTGTGTTGTGGGGTCACAGGGCTCCTTGACAAGCAGCCATTCCAGGGCTGCCAATAGGGAGAGGTCCCCCTGGGTGCAGTCTGGCCCCCAGCCCTGCCTGGGGACCAGCAGGTGTCTGCATTGACCCTGGGCTCTTGCCTCTCCTGCGCTTGTTGCAGAAATGCAGACTCCCAGTTGTTTGACAAGGTTAGAGGGCACGACATCAAGCTGCTGCGGTACCTGTCGGTCCGGTACATCTGTGACCTGATGGTGGAGAACAAGAAGGTGAAGTTTGGCTTGAAGTGAGTGTAGAACCTGCGCCTGCCCTTGGGCTGTGTTGAGGGGGGTGGCGGGTCTGCACCTGCTGCCCAAAGTCATAAGCCAACCCAGGGCTTGGACTGCATTGACCTGCATGCAGTGCTGTCTTCTCCTGGCAGGGTGCTGGAGAGGCCCCAGGAGGTATTCATCAGTGCCTTAAAGCAGTGGTTCTGAAACTCTGACAGATTGTGCACCACCAATTTAAAATGATGCAACCTTACGTATCACCAGCAAATTTTTGTCATACAAAGTAATTATAATAAATCTGTTAATGCATGCCACTGACAGGCTGTTTGCATACCACTGGTGATACATGTACCACAGACTGGGAACCGGTGCCCTAAAATGTAGCCCTGGGGGCACACTGGGCTGTATATCAGGTCCATTTGGCCTTGGCCAGTGCCACTGTGAAGGCTGCGGCAGCAGGTTGAAGGTTGGCTCAACTCCACCACCCTTCTTGCAACCAGGATGGGTTCCCAGTTGCCTCAACTGGGGATGGAGGTTGGACACCCTGGTCCCTGCGACTGCAGGTGTAGCGACTTTCTCGGCAGGGGCCGAGTAGGTGTGAGGACCCTGACTTCAGAGGAGGGGAGCAGAGGGTCAAGGAAGGTGGGCAACTCTCTGGGATGCATCTGGGCTGAGGGTGTGACTGTCCTTGGGCTGGAGCTTCCCTGCATTGTTTGGATCTGAGTGGGGCTCTAGGCTGCCACTGGAGTCAGGACTGTTCTGTCACCTGCATGTGCCTGTGCACCATGTGACCAGCCTGGGTGTCCCAGTGCCTGGGGCCGCGTCCTCTGAATACATACCCTGTTCTTTCATCCTTCTCAGTGTTACGTCTTCGGAGAAGGTGGACAAAGCACAGCGCTATGCTGACTTCACCCTTCTCTCCATCCCATACCCAGGTACAGGGCTGATGGCTGAAGGGGTTGCTGGGGACGGGGAGCTCCTTGTGTGTGGTGGACAGAGGCTGGGACTCCCTGCATGTTCCCTGGTCTCTGGAGCAGGAAGCTCTTTGGGCCAGCAGGAGCATGTGCAGGTGTCTAGAAGGGGTCTAGAAGATGTGAGCCAGCACCAGGCAGCTTAGTTGCATACTGTGAGGGCTGGCCAAGTTGCAGTGGGAGTGGCTGTGTTCACAGCCTTCCCTAAACTGCCAGTCCCAGGGGATTTAGGCCCTGGGCAGATACGTATGGATGGAACCTGAGTGCCCCACTGCTCCATGTCTTTTTGGGGCTGGGGGGTCACTTGAGGAGTTCAAGTCTGTCCCTCTGACCCTTCAAAGGAGAGGGAAGAGGGAGATTCATGCTTGCTGGTCACAAAAGACCAGCCCTCACTGCTCCTCCTTGCCCTCCTCCTGGGTGAGCCCTGCCTGGCCCCAGACCTGCAGTGGGGAAGCGTTGTTTTGATACCGAGAGAAGGCACAAAGCATCTTGTTCCACAGTGCAGGTCAGCATTGGATTCACTGTGGATAGCCAGCGTGCACAGCTGCTTGGCCAACAGCAGGCCTCCACAGCTTGTGCCTGCCACATCAGAGCCATGCGGCTGCCCGTGTGCAGCAGAACTCCGGCCTGTGCCACTGCCTAGGCCCCTGTTTCTACCCTTGGCAGCTGGTCCTATGAAGGGCTTGGGCAGAGGGGATTCTGCAGTTGGCTGTTGGTGCTCCTATGGGCTGGGGGCTGCCAGCTCATAATGCACATGGCTACACCTGACTCCTGCATCGCCTAGTGCCTGTGCAGCTGCTGCCCATGGCAGCTCCACTTGTGTGCCAGGGCAGAGCTTTGCTAGGCTGCCGAGCTCTCCAAGCACAGGCTGGTCACAGCAGGAGGGGGAGGAGGCCACGGTGTTACATTAAAGCAAGTGCAGCAGCTGTAATGGATGGAGCAGCGCAGTGGGAATGCTCTAATTACGGCTGGATCCAGGTTCACAGCATCAGGACTTCCTGTTTGGAACTGGGCTGTAAAATTGCTCCAAGCTGAAACTGCAGAGAACTTGCGGTTCTCAGAGCAAGGGGGTCACTTCCAGGAGGTGGAGAGCATTTGGGCTGGAGGCTGGTGTTAAAGGGGGAGGGGGGTGGACATTCGTGCTCTTGCAGTTCTCGTGGCTTCCCTTCCCGTGGCCGTCTGCAGTGTGCCCGCTGCTGGTGCAATGAGGTGCCGAGTTCGCTGCCCCAGTTCTTAAGGTTTTGTCTAAGCTCGCAATTGAAATAGGGGCTTGAGCAGTCACTTAGTATCTTGGGCAGAGGCCTGTGGGAGCATTTCCCTAATGGGGGTTGGGTTGGCCGTATCCTGCTCCAAGTGACATTTCACATTTGAAAACCAAGGCCATCTCCTCCTCCTCCCTCCCTGAGTTTTGAGGCTCTGGGTTGTCCCTCTCTCCAACCCCTCCATCCAGTCAGGTAGACTCCAAGTCCTGCTGCCACTGTGCATTGAGGCACTTGTGTGCAGATGGTTGTATGCGTGGTGCAACCACCCATCTCCATGCACTCGCGGTGGCGGCAGGGGGGATCCTGGTGCAGACTCCTAGTATCCAAAGAGAACCAGCTTCAGCTCTGCCAGAGCTACTGTTGTGCTCTGCTGTGCTGCCTGCAACCCCAGGGCAGCACTGTGGGGAACACCTGGTGCATGCCCCTGTGATGTGAAGGGAATACCCCAGACATGTGCTGTGCTGTCCCTGGGAGCTGGGGGAGGGTCACAACAGCGTTAGCACCTTGGGAGCCTCCTCTACATTGCCACTGGCTGGCCAGGGGGGCACTCGAACCAGGCTGCACACTGTATTGATGGCTGCCCCTGACCTCCCACAGGCAGGCTGATTGTGGATTCACTCCATGTGCTGGAGTCCCGGCTGGCGCTGAGGCTGTCAGCTCCGTGTCCCCCTGGGGATTCCAGCAGTTAGCGATCAATTGTCTACACAATCGCTCGTTGCCTTGTCTCTTGCAGGCTGTGAATTTTTTAAGGAGTACAAAGATCGGGATTATACTGCTGAAGGCCTTGTGTTTAACTGGAAGCAGGTACAAGGATGTTGCTAACTGGAAAGCTGCGGGCTTTGCTGCGCCTAATCCTTGACGCAGGACCTTGCAAACAGTTACATAACAGTGCATGTCCCTCCTTGCCACAGGGAGGGAACCCAGCAGGAAGGGGCTCTCTGCAGCGGGTCAGCATCCTGCACTCTGGGATGCTCTGGCTGCCTATGGGGAGCTGGACCTTGCTGTGGCTGGCCTGGTATCCTGGTCTTCACATACCTGTGACCTGAAGCTAGTACTTTGCAGGTGGCCTCTAGTCTCAGCTTTGCATTTATCTGGTCTGCCTGCTGGGGAGGTGGAGGGCCAGGGTCCTGCAGAGACCCTCACACTGAAGTGCCTTGTCCCCAGCTGCTTACTCTTCCCCCTCAGGAGGAAGGGCCTCTCGTGGTGCACCAGCCTCTTCCCTCCAGCAACCCACTGTGTCCAGAAGTACCCCAAAGCCAGGCTAGAGGCAGCACTCACTGCCACTGCTCTGCTTTCTGTGCCCGGTTCCATTGGAGCTGCTCCCCCTCCCCTCAACTGATCCATGGCTGACCTGTGTGTCTGTTTGCAGGATTATGTAGATGCTCCATTAAGTATCCCAGTCTCCCTGACTCAGGCTCTGAATATTGACTGGAGCAAATACCAGGTGAGCAGTGCTGGGGCTCCTGGGGAATTGGTAGGCCACAGGCAGACGGGAGCAGTCAGGTCACCTGGACTGACCACATGTATGATATCCCACACTCCCGGCAGCAGGAGCTGCTGTGCTGGGTCACTGGCTCTCCTGGGCTCCACGCTCCAACAGACTTGTGCTCGTAGCTCGTGGCTGTTGCCCTGCAGCCTATCTCCTGAGGCTGCACCTCCCTCTGCCAGCAGGCAGCTGCACATGCAAAGCCAGCCCTGTTCCCTTCGGTGTCTGCGGCTGCAGCCTCTTGCCCTCTCTGCCTACCACGATTGCTTCGCTGGGTTCTCCTGAGTGGCATGTTGAGTCTCGCGTGGTCCCTGCATTACAGTGTGTGTCCTTTTGGATCCCCTCGGCTCTGCCTGTGATGTCAGCCTCTACCCCTAAGGTCCTTTCTCTTCCAGCTTCTGGCTGTCTCCCTGCCCCAGGTGTCTGTCATTGTTGGTGATGGAATTGCCTCTCTACCCTTGTCCCAAATACCATATTTTTGCATTGTTTTCCTGGAAGAATGACTGTTTTGAGCTCCTGAGCCAGAGCGCTGGCTTCCTTGGTTGTGCTGCTGGCATGAATGCTGCTGTCACAAAACTTGGGGTGCAGCACCCCTGGGGTGAGGTAAACGGCTCCCTGTTCCAAGAATAGCCCCATTACCTGCGTGACCTGTGAAAAAAAACAGGCTGTGCTTTGGGTTTGAAATTGGCACATCTGTTCCACGCTTGCCAAGTAGCTGCAGTAAGGTGCAGGCCAGCTCAGGAGGGTGCATGTGCATACATGGCGTCCATGGAGCTTTCTACATTTAGGCGGCTGCAGTGATGATTTCTTGGGCTCCACGCAGGCTCCAGGGACAGGCAGGGGCTTGGGGGCTTGACTGTCCAGAGCAGCGGTAGCTTAGTGTGGGCCTTTGACCCTCAAGGGCTTTTCTTAACGTAGGACGCAAGCTGCAGGCGGCTGTGGGGTGTAGCTGGCTTCCCATGGTGGCAGTGCATCACGGGGGAAGAGCAGGGAGTACTGAAGCTCAGTGAATGGCAGTAGTGCTAGGTGACGTTCCCTCCCCCAGCGCCTGCCTGCTCCCTGCAGCTCAAGCTGGCAGGTGCAGAAGGAGCATGCTGCTGCCATTGCCACTGCTGGGGTTTTGGACAGAGTTCCCCACAGCTGGAAGGCCGAGATGGGGCCAGGCTTTCCTGTCACATGCTGCTGGGGGTTGGCAGGTGCTCTCAGACCTGTAGGAGAAGGCAGGAAACAGCAGCTCTGCTGTGCCCCCACGTCCTTCCCTTCTGCAGCCCCGTGCTGATGTAGTGCCTCCGGTGCCCTGCTGCTCCTGCGGGCTGCAGGTGTCCTGCTGGCACGGCAAGGGGTGCTCCCTGGCAGGAGCAAGCTGTTCTGTCCTGCCTGCCTGACTGATGCTGCCGGAGCCATCAATCCCTGGGATTTCCCTGGACAGGCTGCAGTGCTGGGCATGGAGCAGTACACCCACCTCTGTAGCACGCAGCAAGGAAGAAGCCACAAAAATTAATCTAAAGCACCAGCATGAGCCAAGCCAAGCGGAGCCACCCAAGAGAGGGCAGCACCTGTGAGGCACTGGGCCCAGGACCAGCCAGCCTGCAGCAAGCACCTCATTCATTAAGTATCCTGAGCAGCCAGAGCTCCTGCAGCTGCCTGGGAAAGGATGTTGGACGAGCAGATTGGGGGCAGGAAGGAGCCACAGAAACAACCAAAAGAAGCAGCAGAGCTTGGTTTGTTGGCCTGGGCAGGGCAAGCAAGCAGGGACTGTTAGGGGGCCAGCAGTGCAGCTGGGACCATGTGCTCAATAAGGGCAGAGATGGAGGCCGGGGCCACACAAATCCTAATGAGTACTGAGAGTGACTGACCATGCAGATCAACTACTGAGACGGAGAGAGCTCCAGAACGGCAGCCAGAGATGGGGAAGCTCTAGGTGAATGTCGGGTGCCAGGGTCCTGGCAGGGCCTCTGGCTGGTGGGATAGGATGTGCTGTCCCTTCTGGCTTCTCCGTGGACCTGCCTGGGAATCTCTTGGCTCATGGACTCTGGCAAAGGCTGGGGAGTAGGAGGAGGTCCCAGGCTCATGTGCATCACTGTTCCCCACTTCTCAACCTGTGGCAGCTGTCTGGTAGGGAGTGTCTTATCCCCACCTTGCCCCTGCAGGTGTGGTGCAGCAGGACAAGCTGGCAGTGGTCTGTCCTGCTGTCTCGAGCATGAGAGCACCTGTTCTCTGCTTCAGGTCACTGCATGGAGGTTCAGGGGCTTGGTCGCCCGTCCTCTCCCTGCTCCCAGCACGGGTTGTGCTGCAGGTGGTTGCAGAGCCCTGGCCTGCTGTTTGTCACCATGTGGAGGCCTGGCACTGATGTGCTGTGTTCATGCAAATGGGGCACAGGAGGAAGGAAAAATACCTGCTTCCCCAGCCCCTGCCGCCTGTGAGCTTGAGACCTGGAGGCCTTCTGTGTGGGTGAACAGGAATCTGCTGCTGTCTGCAGAAAGTGGGTCAGCGCTCAGCAGGAGCCCCCAGGTCTCCAGCAGTCCAGTCCAAGATGAGGGAGCTCACCTACAATTGCAGGGCCAGTGCCCACCCCCCAATCTGGACCAACTGCACAGCTGCAGCGCTGCTGCAAAGCGCTTCCCAGCACCAACACCTGGGGCCACAGAACTGGGTCGGGGCTCAGCAGGGTGCGTGGAGGTGCTGCTCAGCTTTTGGTGCATGGGCAGGCTGCCACGCCTGCAGCCCCCAGCTCTGCTAGGGCCGGGGAGCCAACTTACACCTTCCCTTGCCCCACATTGGGCCCCCACAGTCCAGGGGCTGGGCCCCTCCTGCCCAGTCCCCTCCTCACTGGGCAGTTTTTGCGGGTGAAGCTGTTGGGCCAACATGGGTGGGAGGCAAAGCAGGGCTGTGGCCTTGGCAATGCTCTGGGGGTTGTTTGTGCTGAGGGTCGTGCATCTGCTGTGGCCTCTGGCCCCAGGGCAGTTTCTCACCTCTCCTGTTCTCTGCAGAGCTGGGACCTGGTGCAGCAGACGCAGAACTACCTGAGGCTGCTGATCTCGCTCATCAACAGTGATGGTGAGGCTGCGCCCCAGTGGGTGCAACTTAGGGCACATTTCCCTCCCCCTAAGCCCGGCAGGATGATCATGCAGCACCCAGTCTGGGCACAGTCTGCAGCCCTGTCTGAAGCATCGCTCCTCTGGGGCTCTGCCCCCTGGGGCCACTCGTGGGGCCTCTATTTCTCCATGGCAGGGGGCTGTTGCAAGGAGCACACTCACCAGCCCCTCTTCCCCCTGTGAGGGCTAGTATCCCAAAAGTAGGAGAGACCGGGAGGCCCCAGGCAGGCACTGGGCCCAGAACCTCTAAATGCCCGGCTCAGCGCCAAGTGGGCAAGTAGAGGGCAGGACCCTGCTGTTGCCCTTCCTGTGACCTGCCACTGGTGTCCCAGAAATGTTCGTGTGTCCTGCAGGAGGGAGCAATGTGTCTAGGCCTGGGCCAGCCACTGTCACGCTGCCTCTGGAGACGGGCAGCATTGTACTGCCCTCCGTGCAGCTTCTCGTGGGCATGAGGGCCTCAGAGCTCACTGCCCCAACAGCAGGCTGTGTTGCTGCTGCTGGCCTGTCTAACAAGGTGGTGGGGGGCTCAGTGGCCCTGTCGGCAGGAGGAGGGAGGGGACCCGCTGCTCCAGGGGTGACAGCTGAGTCTCGGCCTCCAGTGAGGATGGAGCTCTGATGGGGCAGGCTGGGTTGGGCAGTACTCCTGCCATGCCACTCACCTTCGTGAGCTGAGGTTCCTGCTCCAGGATGGCTGCAGGTGTGGAAGACTTGGGCCGCCACATCCCCAGCACTTGGCTGCCTGGGCTGTGTTCCCTCCCACCTGCATGCAGAGTTGGGGGAGCTTTCACTGCAGATCTGTCCCTAGTAAGGGGCTCTGTTCCCACTACAAAGCACTCTCTTGTCCTCCCCCTCGAGCAGATGACAGTGGGCTCCTGGTGCACTGCATCTCTGGCTGGGATCGGACCCCCCTCTTCATTTCTCTCCTGCGCCTCTCGCTGTGGGCTGTGAGTACCCAGTCCATGCACTCTGGCTTAGGGGTGACAGCTGGGGTGGCTGGCGGCATGGGTTGAAGGACAGCTGGGTGTGCTGCCCTGCTGGCTTGGCGGGTGGAGTAGGCAAGGTGTGCTGTCTTCGGGGTGCTGAGCTGGGCACCTGTGCCTGCACCAGCTCGGCATTGACATGGTGGCCTGACACATGCTCTGGCTGCACGTGCATGAGACGCAGGGTCAAAGCAGGGTGGACACCTGGCTGGCCCAGCCTGTGGCACTGAGCCTTGCCCGTCTCTTTGCAGGATGGGCTGATTCATGCATCCCTGGAGCCTGCCGAGATCCTCTACCTGACTGTGGCCTACGACTGGTTTCTCTTTGGGTAGGAGCCAGAGGTCTGCTGAGCGGTGGCTGGCACCTCCAGGGCCAGCTCTAGCCTGTGACCAGGCCAGCTGCCTGAGGCCAGAGGATTATAGGAAGATGATGGGGGAGGCAGGGTAGTCTGTTGGCCTGGAGGTGCTGCCTCTGTAGCGGGAAGGGCTTGCTTACGTCCCGCTCAACACTGCCAATGACCCTGTCCTGCTCTTGCCTGGGTCCCTGGCACATCAGTCTTCCCTTGCTCTTCCTAGGCACATGCTGGCAGATCGGCTCAGCAAAGGAGAGGAGGTGAGCATATACTTCAGGCTGGGGGGCAGCTGCCAAGCACAGTGCTTGCTCTGCCCACACAGCATCCCTCTGTGCAGCAGCCCCCACTGCCCCTTGGGCTGGCTGGCACTATGGGGTTGTGCCCACAAGGCAGGGGGCTGCCTCAGCACAGGGACTGCATCTCAGGGAGTTGGTGCTCATGTTCTCTTTGTGCCCTGGCACAGATGCTCTGAGATGCTGTTCAACTTGGCTCAGGGACATTTCGGGTTCTGGCATCCTCTGAGCCCTGGAGCGGATTGGTCGAGCACTGCCCGGGTTAGCCAAGGCGGCGGTGCTTCAGAGCTGTGGTCACGCAGGGCAGCAGCTTCAGGGACATGGTGCTCAGCCAGAGAGTAGGGGACCCTTGGGTCACTCTAGCGCATGTGGGAACTTCCTCCCTCCCCCTGCCAGGTGGGGAGGTCAGGGAGTCTGAACCAGCCCAGCTGGCATGCAGGGGTGGGCTCCTGCTTTCTCAGAACCTCTAAATCTTAGCAAGCTGCTGCTGGGTGTGACATAGCCCCTGGCCCATGAGGCTTGTGCAGCTGGATGTCCTGAGAACAGGCACATCCCCTGGCTGGGTGAAGCGTGGCAGGAATGTGCTGGGACGTCTTCTGCAGCAGTGACCCAGGGGCAGCAGACAGGAGGCCCCAGAAGAGGCCGTGGCTGATGTTGAGATTGGGAGGGTCTGGTTACTGCCGGTGTCTTGCAGTCGCCCACCCCAGGAGCAGGGCGGGGGTGCGGGTGGCCCCAAGCCATAGGTCCCCCTCACCTGCTCTTCCCCCTCCTCCAGATTTTCTTCTTCTGCTTCAATTTTCTGAAGCACATCACCTCACAGGAGTTCTCAGCTGCACCGCCGCCCAGGTGAGGAACCCGCGCCTGCCGGAAGAGCTTGTTAGTGCTGCTGCTGCAGGGAGATGCAAGCCCTGGTGTCCTGGCCCACTTTCCCTTAATGTATTCTGTGCTCAGAAGGCTGCAAAATGGGGCCGAGGCCTGGGAGGTGCTGAGGCTGCCCGGGCTGGGAGGAGTTCTCTGCTTCATGCCGCATCCAGAGGCTCCCTGAGCATAGATGGGCCTTGGAGCACGAGGGCTCTGGGCTGCTTGGGCCACCAGGTGCTGTGTGAGCCAGGAGGTTGGGGGCTATTGTACCGCTGAGCATGGGTTGAGCAGTGTTCCCTGCAGCTCTGCCAGCCCTCCCTAAGGCTTCTGTCTGCTCTGGGGCAGCCACTGTCTGGTGTTCTGCTGCCCCTGCTCCAGCCCTCCAGCATGCTGGGGCTGCGGCTGGGTCCCTTCCAATTCAAGCCCCATCTTGGGCTGGGGGTGAACCAGGGAGCCTGGTGTCCCTGCCCCTCGAAGGGACAGTGGGTCTCACAGCAGCTCTGAGGAGAGCCAGACCATGCTGGGCCGCCCTCCCTGGCCTGGTGGGTGGCAGCAGAGGTCTCCATCATTCCAAGCCTGGCAGAGGCATGAGGCTCCAGCTCAGGCTAGTCCCTCTCTGGGTCTACACTGTGTTGCTGACTCTCCTTCTGTCCCCAGGCGGAAAAGCTTGCCCCCTGGCTTCACTCTGGAGGAGATCTGCATGCTCCGTGAGTACTACCACAGTGCTGGCTGGGTCCCTCAGAGCAGGCCCCTTGGTGCCCAGCATGTTGGGTCGCATCCATGGCATTCATAGTTTTAGAGCATTGGGTCTGGCAGGGACCTGCAGAGGTCACAGCTAGTCCAACCCCCAGCCTGAGGCAGGATCAGCCCTGTCCAAACCAGCTTGGACAAATCTGTTGTCCAGCAGCTGAGCAAAACAATACAGTCACCCTGACAGCACCCGGCATCACATCCAAACCTGCTGCAGGTAGAGCATGGGGACCATAGTGGCCACTGTCCTGCTGCTGCTGCAGAGGTGGCTAATTTATGTTCAAGAGATCCAAGGAAGAGGCCATGGCCCCCACTACAGATGAAGGCAAAAGCCCCATGGTCTGTACCAGTCCAGTCACTGGGTGAAATTCCTTCCTGACCCCAAATATGGCATTTGGCCTGAACCTGAGCAGAGGGGCAAGGCCCTCCAGCTTTCTCCCAAAAGGAGC